GGGTGTGGGGGTAAGGGGGCTTGAGCAGCTCACACATTGGCATGGTGTTAAGGTGCTGGTCAGTGTAGAGTACTCAGCGGAGGAGTGTAGTTTAGCGGTACAAGCAGTGGTGGGTTATAACGACATCAAGTCTGCATCCTGAATTAACAGCCCTACTGTTTTTCAAACAGGTAGAGAAAGTGAACGCGCTGGTGGAGCAGGGCATGGTGTTGAAACACTTTCACAAAGCTGTTTCCCCCTCGTGAATCCAGTGAAAAAAGTTACCCTGAGCAAGTCCCCCCGTTGATTAAAGACAAAGTCTTACTGCGTGAGCACTCTCCAAACAGCCACATTGTTTCACGACTCATAAAACCCCTTTAGGCTGTAAATCTTCGCTTTAAGATTTAAGATTTAGGATTCTTTATTGTCATTGCATAGGTTACAATGAAATTGGGTAGCAATCCTAAAGGTGCATAAACAAAAAATAAGATTAAACTAGGACTAAAGCAAAAAAATATGTAAAATATTAAATGGAATATATTAAAAGAAAGACTATATGATTTAAAATAATTTTAAAAAGTATAAATAGAACATTATACTATAAAATAATTGAAAATAAAATGACTAAAAATTTAAATAAAAGGGTGGATATAAAAGAATGTAGCAGCTATGGTATTGCACATAAGGGTATTGCACATAAGTGAAAGGTAGTATTTCTATTTACAGATGCTGTAAAAGAAGGTGCAGTTTAATAATAAATATAAAGTGCAAATGAATGTAAATATCTTTATTATCCCTGGTGTTTGTTCAAGATGTAGTCTCCTTCAGAAGACGGGTGTTTGTTTTTTATGGCATAGATGAGTTGAACTGCCCGGGCAAGGCCACAGAGACTCAGCCTGAGCCCAGCTGAGCTGAAGCAGAGGCCACGATGTGAAATCTTACATAATACTTGGTCTGGTCTTAGAAAATCAAAATATACTGTCACACAAAAATAAGGAAATCCATCAATATTGTCCATACTTGATCGCAAGTTCTGCCATGGCCCTGGTGTTAAGCTGAGAGGACATTTGGGCGCCAAGAAGTTGTTGTAGCTGTTCAGAGAATGTGTCAGAATGTGCTTGCTAAGCTGTATATTGTTTTTACTTCACTTCATTTAGTCTTGGTATAAAAACAAATAAAAGAATATATAAAAATCATGTATGTTTACTGTGAGGAATGTCACTTATTGTGTATCATTAACAAATGTACCAATTTGCACTTGTTTGCGCTTTGTACTTTGTTGGAGAGCTTATGTGCAATTGCAGAAAACAATCTGAAAACAGATTGTGTATGTGTGTATACAGGAACAATAAAAGACACAGGCAGAAAGGGAAGCCATTGAGTCAATGCAAGCACTCTGGAATCACCAACATTACACTGGTTAACTTGTAGATCAGTGTGGCCAAGTGTCCATGTCACCACTGATCACTGGACCAGGTTTACCTTGTGCCCACGGTGTTGAGAATCGTCATCCCATCAATACTTCAAAAGGAGACAGTTTTGTGGTTGAACTCAGTGTCATGCACATTTCACAAAGAACAGCTTTAATCCATTTCCTATTCCCAGTTTTGTGAGCCTATCTTTAATAGTTCTGTTTGTGTATTCTGATGATCTAGAATGTATGGAATATGAAAATTCCATTCAATGCAAGGTATTGGCAAGTTATGACCAACAAATACTTCAATTGTCCTTGTGCTGGCATGTGTGTGTAACAAATCAGCACGACAGGCAGACTCCTCTACAGTATCAGCACAACAGTCATGAATGTCAGTGAGGATGTCAGAATCAGGGAGAGAACACATTTGATGCAAACAGACTGTTTGGAGATTGTGGCAAGGATGTTTTAATGGAGACATTACTAGTGCATGTCAAAATGTTCTTATAACTGCTGAGCCTCTGTGCCATCATGTGTTGAGTAGACATTGTATTGAGAATAGTGAGCGCTTGGTGAGAGATGTACAATATCATTGGTTGTGTCAAAGTTTTTCTTTTCTGCATCCAAGACCAAAAGGGCTGCAGTTGCTACTGTACATAGACATCCAGGCAGCCTTTAAGTTACAACTAATTTAATGTTTTGGACAAATAGGTAACAAGTCTCAGGTGGACCCTGTGCTGCTGAGCTCAGGGGCCACCTGAGACCTGTCCCCAGGACACCTGTGGCAACCCCATAATGTTCATGTGTGTACAGATGAAAAGACTGTCTGTAGTCTGGCAAGCCCAAGGCTGGAGCAGAACACAGTGACCACTTTAGTGCTGAGAAGGCATCTGCCATTTCGGTGGTCCACTCAACACTGACGGGTCAGACTTGCAACACTGTCTCAGGATCTTGTCATAATTGGAGCAGTCAGCAATCCATGAACAGCAGTAATTCACTGGTTCCAAAAAGATATTATGCCTTTTTTTGTGGACAGGGGTTTGAAAGGCTTGACAATCTGTATTCAGTCTTGTGAGAGTTTCTGACTTCCTTCTTCTGACAAAATGAAGCAGAGGAATGATACAGTTGTTTGGCAGTACTGCAGCATCATCATCAACGAGGAGGAGTAAAATATCAGTACTCAACTCCAATCCTGACACCAAAATTGTTAGGAGTTTTTCCTTCTTGTACCTTTCTGATCACACCTTCACCTCACTGAACCTGTTTTTTCTCCCTTGAAGCTTCGGGGGAGTACATCAGAACAAATGACACACAGGCACCAATGTTCAGAGACACACCTTGTTTAATGTGGGTCAGAATAGCCTTTTTATACATGTGAGGTTAAAGAAGGCATACATGATTGACAGCAAGAGATTAGAAGATAAGTCGCACCCAGAAGGTTCTAACATTTATAGACTACAGGAAGTTGCCACTGAAGAAGACATGTAACGTTGAACAGGCACGGAAAGACACTAGCGGATCTTAAAAACAAAAGTTGGTTTAATGAGAGAACACTTGCGAGAAAAGAACAGAGTCAGGGCAAATCCAAAAACAGAATCCAAAGACAGGCAAAAAGTAAAAAAAACAGAAAATACAAAAACACAAGCAGCCAGAGCAAATGTGCAAATCCAAAAGAGTGATAGTTGAAAAACAGGCTATGGGTTCAGAACACTAGTCATGAAATCAGAAGAGAAACGTTCAGTAAACCAGTAGAGTGGCAATACCTCGCAATGAGGAGAACAAGCCAGGATCCTTTTAAAGTCTAAAGCAAACTAACACAGGTGTGTTGTATTAGTAATTGGGTGACTGTGAATGGGGCAGAAGCCTGTGATTGGCGGAAAGGGTGATGTCATGATGATAGAAATTCTGGGAGATGGAGTCCTGGAGCGTGTTCATTTATAGCATTTTGAAGTGTAGCTATGTCTAAATGGACAAAAAACAGCTAGCAGATCCTCGGTTGGAAGTTCTTCACCGTCATCACGGATGTTTTTGGCAAGTGGGTCATTTTTAGACGTAGTTAGCTGCTAGCTTATGTTAGCCAAACAGGTCGAATTGGAACTGAAAAAGCCTGTACACTGAAAAACCCAAACACTAATTTGGCTGAAATATAGATAGATAGATAGATAAATAGATAGATAGATAAATAGACAGACTTCATTGTCATTGCTCAACAGAAGTACAAGGAAGTAACGAAATACTGTTAGCATCTACCAGAAGTGCAAATAGTAGCAATAGTGCAAAATGGACAGTGCAAATGTGATATAACAGGCATAAATATATCAGTGAAATATATAACTATATTAACAATATATACACAATTATAGATATAGTTTATATATATATATATATATATATATATGTATGTATGTATGTATATACAACCCCAATTCCAAAAAAGTTGGGACACTGTGTAAAATGTAAATAAATGTAAATAAAAACAATGCAATAACTTGCAAATCTCATGGACCCATATTTTATTCAAAGTAGAACATAAAACACACATCAGATGTTGAAAGTGAGACATTTTACCATTTCATGAAAAATATTAACTCATTTAGAACTCGATGGCAACAACGCATCTCTAAAAAGTTGGACAGGGGCAACAAAAGCCTGGAAAAGTAAGTGGTACAAATAAAATAACAGCTGAAGGAGTAATTTGCAACTTACTCACATGACTGAGTATAAAAAGAGCATTTTAGAGAGGCAGAGTCTCTCAGAAGCAAAGATGGGCAGTGGTTCACCAACCTGTGAAAAGCTGCATCTAAAAGTTATGAAACAATTTTAAAAAAATGTTCCTCAATGTAAAATTGCAAAGACTTTGGATATACCACATAATATCATCAAAAGATTCAGAGAATCTGGAGAAATCCCTGTGCACAAGGGACAAGGCCGATGGTCAATATTGGATGCGTGTTTGAATGCAATGCCCTCAGGTGGCACTGCATTCAAACAGGCATGATTCTGTATTGGAAATCACTGCTTGGGCTCAGGAACACTTCCAGAAATCATTGTCTATAAACACAGTTCACCATGCAATACACAAATGCAAGTTAAAATTATATCATGCAAAGAAGAAATCATATATAAACAGTATTCAGAGACGCTGCCAACTTCTCTGGGCCCAAGCTCATTTTAGATGGACTGAGGTGAAGTGTCCTGACCTTTCACCAATAGGAAACATTTGGCGCATCATGAAACAAAAAATCCAGCAAAGTGCACCCAGGACTGTTGAGCAGCTAGAATCCTACATCAGACAAGAATGGGACAACATTCCTCTCCCAAAACTCCAGCAATTGGTCTCCTCACTTCCCAGATGTTTACAGGCTGTTGTTAAAAGAAGAGGGGTTGCTACACAATGGTAGACATGGCCCTGTTCCAACTTTTTTGAGATGTGTTGCTACCAAGTTCTAAATGAGTTAATATTTTTCTTGAAATGGTAAAATGTCTCACTTTCAACATCTGATATGTGTTCTATGTTCTATTGTGAATCAAATATGGGTCTATGAGATTTGTAAATCATCACATTCTGTTTTTATTTACATTTATTTACATTTTACACAGCGTCCCAACTTTTTTGGAATTGGGGTTGGATATGCATAGTACTATAAATACAATATATATGCGGTATGTTACATACTGTTAGAGTAAGCAGTTATTTGTTGTATTCTATATACAGTGAACACACTGTTGTATGGACATGTGTGACCCTTCTTATCGGGTGTTCGTCCACCCTGGTCCCATGATGGACACCGAGTTCGAATGATGCAGTTTTATTTGCCTGTAATGAGTATGGCAACCACAGTTTAAGTCTCTGTTCGTGCTTCGGCCAGCATACAACACGGCAGCGTGCAAACACTCTACTGCTCAAAGAATACATTGGTCTAAATATATTTCCAAAATGAACCAATGACGAGAAATATACATTCATGAAAATAATATAATTACCTTTACAAATTACTATGATCGTATAGTGGTAAAAGTGCTTGTGTTTCCATATTACGCTCAGTTTTTAGATTCGATCTACATTTTACATTTCCATCAGTGTCAATATGAATTATATTTTATAGCTACATCATCCTTTTCTTAATTAGTGAAACATCAACAAAAAGGTAAAATATGAAATAATGCCATCTGGTGGCGAACACAAAATATGGCATCCAGACCACATGGTGCAAGAATAAGCTAGTTAAAACAGCTAGCATTGCTGTGCTCATTGATACTGTTCTAAAACACCTTAAAACATGAATATAACATACCTGTAATGAGTATGGCAACCACAGTTTAAGTCTCTGTTTGTGCTTCGGCCAGCATACAACTAAAGAAACAGGCTAACGTTAGCACAGTTCAGTTCAGGTTTAGCTTCGAATTTATAACTCTTTAAATAAAGCATTTTGGAAAAGCCCAACTGGGTGTACTGGTCTCTATTACATGTATTTCAAGACAGTAGGGACAAAAGTCAAATATTACAACACTTTACATAGTTATCTGCAGTTTTGCTGAGCTGAACATACGAGCTGTACTCACCACGGCAGCGTGCAAATGCTCTACTGCCAAGGCTGCACTGAATCACCAATATATACAGGAGCTGTAATACGCCAAACCCATTTAGCAGGAATTTCATAACAACATTAATATTGTTATATGTAATATGTTATATGTAATATGTAATATAACTATTGTACATCGTTACACATGCAAGAGATAATAAATAATAAATAAATATTGTGTGCAACATACAAGTATGATTATCAGTGGAGTGGTGTGGAGTTCAGCAGGGTGATGGTGGAGGGAAAGAAGCTGGACCTGAGATGACTGGTTCTGGTCCGAATGCTTCTGTATCTCCTCCTGGATGGGAGGAGGTTAAACAGTGTGTGGCTGGGGTGGGAGGAGTCCTTAATGATGCTGCACGCTCTGCATACACAGTGCTGGTGGTGAATGTCTCTGATGGCAGAGAGCCGTGTGTCAGTGATGCACTCAGCGGTCCTCACAACTTTTTTGGAGGGCCTTCATGTAGACCTCAGTGGAGCTGCTGTACCACACTGTCACACAGTTGGAGTTGTGTACTTCCAGGAACTTGAAGCTGGAGACATGCTCTACCTCAGAACCGTTGATTCGGGGACAGTGTGTGCAGCTTTTGTTTTTCTGGTAGTCCACAATGAGCTCCTTGGTTTTGTCCATGTTGAGGGAGAGGTTGTTGGCGGTACATCAGGCAGCCAGGTGCTGGATCTCCTCCCTGTAGGCCGTTTCATCATTGTTGCTGACGTGGCCAACCACTGTGGCAATATCTGCAAATTTAATAATGTTTGATGTGTGCAGAGGAACGCAGTCATGGGTAAACAGAGAGAAGAGCAGAGGACTCAGCACACAGCCTTGTGGAACACCGGTGTTCAGGGTGAGGGTGGCTGCCCAATCTCACAGACTGGGGTCTGTTTGTCAGGAAGTCCAAGATCTAATTACACAGTGGGGTGCTGATTCCCAGATCACTGAGCCTGGTGACCAGCCTGGTGGGGATGACTGTATGACGGAGGAGGTGAGGACTGGGGATGACTGAGGAGGTGAGTATTACTGTTACTGTAGTCCAGTGGTTATGGAAATTTATTTTGGTATGTGACGCCCTTGCAAGACTTTTTCAAACATGTATCTCTGGAACATTTTATTAAGCCTCATGCAGAAAAAAGATGCACAGATTTGCTGCACTAACTCACAAACAAGGAAGAGCAAATCAATTATCATTTAATTTTTTTTTTTTACTAAAGTTATATCTATTACAGTTTTTATGATTGCTTACATGCTAAATTTAGAAATAACACCTCAGAAGCAAATCTTTAACCCCATCTGCACAATTATGAGCACATTCTGAGGCTTGTAGCTAAACACTACACAAACACTAAACACACTTCTCTTTTTTAGACACAGAAATCTAACATGATGTCACTTTTTTGTCATTTCAAGGCACTGCCTTTCAAAATACCACACCTGTGAACCAACTGATTTGAGTTGTATTCGGATCTCAGACTCATATTCACAGTCTGAGATCAAATGCTAAACAACAAGCATATTTTACACTAAAATGCTCTTTGTTTCTGTCCCTCTCTCTCTGTAAAGGTTATTCTATTTCACACAGACTCACTGAGGAGTTATAATAAACTCTAATCCCAGCGTAGAGCGGTTCAGTGAATGTGGTGGTGAATGTGTGTAGGTGGGTTAGTGTGTGTGTGTAAGGTGAGATGGTGTAGAAGGACACTGTGCCAGACTCCCAGTCCAGATACACCCCTACTCTGTTAGAGGGGGAGGGGGGCGCAGGTAGAGCAGTTTTCTGATTATTGTGACCGACAGAGTGACTGTTACTAAAGCACTCCAGACTCCAGGAGAGTCTATTATTTCCAAACTCACAGTCATCACTGTCTCCTTTCCTTCTGATTCCTCTGTATGATACTGATATATCAGCTGCAACCCCACTCCACTGAACCTCCCAATAACAGCGCCCAGTCAGAGTCTCCACACTCAGAACCTGAGACCAGATATCAAATCTGTCTGGATGATCTGGATAATGCTGATCTTCTCTCATACCATCCACCTTTCTGTTCCTCTCAGACAGTGAGACAAATCTGTTCATTGTGTTTGGATCCAGAGTGAGATCAACAGCATCTGTACACACACACACACACACACACACACACACACACAAACAAACACACATAGAGATTAGGGGAGACACAAACAGAGAATTTTAATCTGGATGTATAGTGTGTGTGTGTGTGTGTGTGTGTGTGTGTGTGGGTGGGTGGGTGGGTGTATGTGTGTATTACATTTCTTCAGTCCTGGTTTAATCCTGATCTTCCCTCCATGATCCACCCTGAAGAACAAACACACACATTTACACATTCATTAACCTACATATCAAATCAAAACTAAAATAAAATAAAGATCATTATGGCATAAAACGCCCTTTAGACCTTACTTACAATCCAGACAAAACTAAATAAAATAAAGGATAAAATACAACCCCATTTCCAAAAAAAAGTTGGGACGGTGTGCAGAATATAAATAAAACCAGAATGATGTGCAAATCTTGTAAACCATATTTTTAAATGAAAATAGTATAAAGAAGCATATTAAATGTTGAAACTGAGAAATCTGATTCTTTCTTTAAAAATATATGCCCGTTTTGAATTTGATGACAACAATATGTTCCAAAAAAGTTGGGACGGGGGCCTGTTTACCACTGTGTTTCTTTTAACAACAGTCTGTAAGCATTTGGGAACTGAGGAGACCAATTACTGTAGTTTTGAAAGTGATGTGTTTTCCCATTAATGCTTAAAATAGGATTTCAGCTGCTCAACAGTTCAGGGTCTCCTTTGTCGTATTTTTCAGTTCATAATATGCCAAATATTTTCAGTGGGTGACTGTTCTGGACCGCAGACAGGCCGGTTTAGCGCCCAGATTCTTTTAATATGGAGCAATGCTGTTGTAATACATGCAGAATGTGGTATGACATTGTTTTGCTGAAATAATCTAGGCCTTCCCTGAAAAAGACGTCATCTGGATGACAGCGTATTGACAGAGAAATTTAATGATACATTGCTGATTAATAATCAATAAACTAAAATATTAGCTAACTTGAGTATTTGGAGATCTCATACAAAAGGCAACATTTGGAAGCAGGCTATAGACTGCATGCATTTGGGATATCACCTCCAAAAGGGAAGAACTCAATGAACTCTTGAACTGACAAAAAAAGGAACTGGACAAACTGTATCTACAAGTTATGGTTAAAAGGAGCGGAATTGTTGGATGACAGTATAAACTATAGCTGAGGTAAAGGGGTAAGGGGTGGGGTGATTACTTCATCACCCCAATGGGCAATGAAAAGGGATGCCTTGAGATGATGTTTGCATTGTGGTTGTCTGGGAACAGTCTTGCCACTTAAAGCTCAATAAAGAGAAGGCCTTTTCCTTCCTTCCACAAGAACTCAGTGGCTGAAGTCTTTTTCATTCCTTTTTGTTCCTTTTTATCCTTTTCTACTTTTTGTTGATATTCTTTTATTCCTTTAATTCTTTTTGAAGAAGTTAGACTACAGTTTAAAATGTTGATTAATCGGACCACAGAACACTTTTCCACTTCCCCTCTTTATATATGATTTTTTTCTTTGCATTTTAGAGTTCTAACTTGCATTTGTTGATGCAGCAACAAACTGTTTTCACAGACAGTGGTTTTCAGGAATGTTCCTGAGCCCATGCAGTGATTTCCACTGCAGAATCATGTCTGTTTTTAATGCAGTGCTGCCTGAGGGCCCAAAGATCATGGACAGCTGATATTGGTTTTTGGCCTTGTCCCTTGCATACAGAGATTTCTCCAGATTCTCTGAATCTTTTAATGATATTATGTACCATAGATGATGAAAAGCAAATGTTCTTTGCTGTTTTATGTGAAGTAACATTCTTGAACTGTTGCACTACTTGCCCGCACAGTTGTTGGCATCAAATTTAAAATGGGCGAATATTTTTCAATAAAAAATAAAATTTCTCAGTTTCAACATTTGATATGTTATCTTTGTACTATTTCCAATTAAATATACGGTTTAAATGATTTGCACATCATTGTATTTTGTTGTTATTTACATTTTGCACAGTGTCTCAAATTTTTGGAAATGGGGTTATATATAATTACCATGTAAAACACCCTTCAGAACTTACATTCCAGATAAAACTAAAATAAAATAAAGAATTAAACAAATCATTATGTTATAAAACACCCTTCTGATGGTCTATATAAAACTAAACTTAAATAAAGAATAAAACATCATTACGGTATAAAACACCGTTCAGACCTTACGGTCCAGATAAAACTAAATAAAATAAAGAATAAAACAGATCATTGTGATATAAAACACTCTTTAGATCTTACAGTCAAAATAAAACTAAATAAAATAAAGAATAAAATACATAATTACAATATAAAACACCCTTCAGACCTTACAGTCAAGATAAAACTAAATAAAATAAAGAATAAAATACATAATTACAATATAAAACACCCTTCAGACCTTACGGTCCAGATTAAACTAAAATAAAGAATAAAACAGATGATTATGGTACAAAGCAACCTTCAGACCTTACGGTCCAGATAAAACTAAACTAAAATAAAGAATAAAACAGATCATTATGGTATAAAACACCCTTCAGGACTTACAGTCCGGTTAAAACTAAAATCACTGTTTATCATTAGACCTATGATGATGATGATGATGATGATTATTATTATAGCACTTGCAATGCAGACTGTACTCATTGTTGTATTGTGTTGTTATTATTATTAATATCATTATAATTGGAGAACTGGTAATGTGGAGTGTCTGTACTAAATGTTGTAGTCAATATTATTATTATTATTGAAGATTCTAGACCCATTACCAGTTTACAGAATGCTGCTGCTCTAAATCACTGTCTTCACATTAATAAAGAGAACTAACATTAGATATTTAAGCACTTTCATTCCATTACCAGTTTACAGAATGTTCCAAATCGCTGTCTTCATGATAATGCAGTGACCTACCAACAGATATTTCAGTAATTTCAGTAATTACCGGTTCACAGTCATCTAATTTTTTTTTTAACTTAGTTACACATCTCAGTAATTTACTATGATGATTTGTATACATATCATTATTTATAAGTGAAAATGTTTATTATTAAAGTACATCATATATAAATATGAATACACACATCAACAACTACATGAACTGTCGTTCATATATATTTGTCCATTTTCAGTGATTTATTCATATTAATAGTCAGTTAATGATTTATTAAAGAAAAACATTTTATAAAATGTTACCCCTTTTTTTTCATCTGAAAAACATGTTGAATCCTACATACATTCTCTCCCTCTCTCTCTCTTTCTTTCTATCTCTCTCTGCTTGTTCCATTGTTTCTCTTGCTCCTCCATCCTCCCCGATTACTGAAAAGCATACATTTAAAATACATTATAAAAGTCTGTCTTTACTCCAACCCCAGTTAACGGGAAAACCAGCTGCTCATAAAGTTAATCAAACATAATACAGTTTAATATACCTGCTGATTTCTACATTGTAATTGATGAGATATTTTGCCAGCAATATGCCAATTAACAGTAAACTTTCTCGTGCTTTTTGTAGTGTTACGTTAATATTAATATGATAGCTAATATAACTAATATAGCTAGCTACTGCTGCTAGGCCAAAGCACTCTGATTTAGCTAACAATGTTACAAGTGATCCAAATAAAAAAATAAGTGATGAGGTGTGAACTTTACAAGAATAATCTGTTAATTATCCTCATAAGCTCATATTTTTATCATAGTGATGTTGTATGTTAGCCTAAAGTATGTGTGCGGCATTCTCACTCTGGGTATCATTAGCATCTTGTACAGAGTCAAACATAGCAGGCAGTGAAAGTAATAAATTGGTGAAAAATCTAATTAAAATTATGTGTCACTTACACCAGATGCAGTGAGTAGGCCAAAACATATTTGATATTTGATGTGTGGTTCTTTAGCCATGTTAGCTTTAGCCATTCTAGGCTAGCAGTAAAGAAATAAAACAGCATTGATAGATTTTATTTAAATATTTAAGCTAAAACTGGAAATACATTATCTGCATAACATCCCACTTTGTAGTATTCTTCCACTTTAAATTTGTGTATTTGTTAGCATAGTTAAGGCTTCATAACTGTAAGAGAGTTAGGTGGAAGTTGCATCTGGGAAAACAACAAAATAAACAAAATAAAACTATGAAAATGAAGGGTTATGTTTAAGTTCGTGTAAACAGTAAACAGAACATAGAAATGTAGGCATAGTCCAGTATATATATTATCACCAGTTCCCTAATGATGCAGTGAAATGCTAACTGTGGCTTTTTGTCAATGAACCACAAACTAGCAAGAGTGCTTTTTAGTAAAAGCACTGTGCAAAATCTTCATGTGTGCAGTGATCATTTTCCACCTGACAATTACAAAGAATGTCAAATAGGATACTTTAAAATCCACAGCTTTTCCAAGTAAATTTCTACACATGAGAAATTAATTTGAGGTGAAATTTGTTTATTTTTTTCTCTGTCTTTGCTGTCCATTTTCTGTTTGCTAAAGTACTGTCATGCCATATACAGCTACCGTCTTCAATGCTGATTTGTTGAAGCGCTGACATCACCAACCCCCTCTCCCCACGGCAGAGACACTCCACCTTGGTTGGTGTCACCTAGCACTTGAGACAAGTAAATCCATTTTCTGTTGTACGTGGAGGTACCTTTGGCAAGTCACTGGTAGTCCAGCATCCAGTTGACGCATTTCTTCATGAACTTAGGTTCAAACACACACAGCTGAAAATGTGGTCATCAAAATTTACCTAGCCTCGCCTTTGGTCATCTTGCTTGGAATGATAACTCATATTGTGCTGATTTAAAACTGTTTAAAGTTACCCACAGGGCCTGCCCACCAATCATTTTTACAGAAAAGTTTATTATTTTTATAAACTACAGTAAGTCATAATGTGCAAAACAAATGCGATCTGGATGTCCTTTGAGACATACGTTTTTGGGCGTGTATTTATGATGATGAGTTTGCTGACAGCCAGTCTATTGTCTATTAGCAATATTAGCTTAACTCCCATTGTAAACAAAAAAAAATTGATAAAAAACATGTCTTGGATGATCAACGGTATCTTGCGTAAGATTAGATTAGATTCAACTTTATTGTCATTGTGCAGAGTACAGGCACAGAGCCAATTAATGCAGTTAGCATTTAACCAGAAGTGCAAAATACAGTATTATTTACTTATAAAGTGCGGAAGGGCAGTAGAGTTATAAAAAATTATAGATATGCAAATATAAATATATACACATATATACAGAATGAGTGGGGAGTGTACAAATGTAGGTAGCATGTACTGTGAGAGCAGCATATGTAAAGATAAGTATACAGAGAAAAACCTGAACAGTAATTGTCGGTGCAAATATGAATAGTGCCACCCCTCAAGTTCCACCACGCTGTTAAAAATATTGCTGCTTAGCCTCGTTTCCGAAAAAAACCTGAAACTGTAGTCCATAAATCTTTCCTGTGTAAGGGTCCAGATCTTTAATTCAAGCTTGTTCACCAGAGACGGCACGTTGGCAAGGAAGATGCTAGGTAGCGCTGGCCGGTGTGGGATTAACCTTAGCTTAGCACGCAGACCTCTGCAGTTACCCCAGCTTTGTTTACAGTCTCCACGCTGGCACCAGGTTCTTCTGGTCAGTATTAATGGCTTGTTTGGTCTTGGTGCCCTGGTCAGCTCCATGGGAAGCTGTTTGAAGTTGAATGGAAGGTCCAAAATGATGTTTGTGCAGCGATGATTAATATCAAGCAGTGTATCTCTGTCGTATGTAAAGTTTGCATGAGTGAGATGAGAGAAATCGCAGGAGATTGTTAAATAAAACTATGAACAAACATATCACTAAAACTGGTGAGACGCTGAGCCTTGCGATGTACACGTGCCGCCATCTTGGTCAAAAAAGGGGTGGAGCAATTATGTTAATTACATTTTAGGCCAAACTATTCCTGTAAGTATGTGTGGCCAGCTGAGAACAAGTCACTGCAGACTGGGTAGTCTCATCACTGTTCTTACACTGAATCTCATAAAACCCTTTGAAAACTACCAAGCTCTGGACCTCAGTGTCATGTTCAGAAGAACAGCAATTCGAAGACAAACACATCTATAGTAAAGCATTACAGTCAGTAATGTGTATAATATGTATAATTACAGGCAGTCTGTGTATAGAGACAGTAAGACAGTAACTCACTGTAGTTTCTCCAGTGCGCAGAGTGGATCCTCCAATAGATCAGCCAGCAGCTTCACTCCAGACTCTCCTGGGTGATTATAGGTCAGATCCAGTTCTCTCAGGTGGGAGGGATTTGATTTCAGAGCTGAAGCCAGAGATGAACATCCTTCATTTGAAACCATACACCCAGACAATCTGCAGAAAGGAAGGAAAAAGAGAGACAGATGACATTTACACAAAACAAAAACCAGATGCAGAATAGAACAAACACAGCAAGCACCTAATTCTGTGAAATACATACTTAACACCATGATATCAAGCAAGACACAACAAACACAATAAACAGACTCAACATCTTCACACTACAAATTATAACATGATAAAGATTTTATTCTGGTTCAGAGCTCCAGAAGATATAATAGCATAAAACGCAAAATGTGAAGATGAAGTGTCCGGACTCTTCCTGCCAAATTTTTAACACTATGCGCTAGGGCTGCTAGGCTCACCACAACACTGCAGTAGCAGCACACTGACCATGCTATTAAGATATTTTTTGATTTATTGTGTGATCTAATATTGAATCTTCATATTGAATCATCTCATCAAGTTCATCATGTATTTTGGCTATAAACATGACAAATGGCAAAAATAACAACAATAAAATATTATGACCTCCTTTTCAAGAAAATGTTTACTTTGTAAAAAATAAATGAAAAAAATAAAATGAATTACAGCATGGGTTTAAATTGTGTGTGAGTCACTTCCTTGGAAAAGCTACTTCTTTGATTGTTTTAACAGCAAGTTGTTCTGCAGGACTCATGTTTATTATTATCAATCCATAGTATTATCAAAACATTTCACTAAATGAATATTTGTTTCATATGGTCTGCGGTCATCACTTAGTTAGCATATACTGAATACTAGCCATTACAATAATGTTTTTGTATGTGGTTTCAATGAGCTTAGAAGTGTAAGCAGGAAAACTGACAAAAACTCAACACATCAGTGTTCATTTTTACTGGTTTTTAGTCTAGTTTCTTGCAGAGGATTTAAAGATAGCAGTAACAAAAATGATGTTCATTTATTGATTTGACACTTTATTTATTCTTTCTTTAACATTTTCAATTCAGGAATGAATTCACAGAAAGATCACCTGAGTGTCTCCAGTTTACAGTATGAATTCTTCAGTCCAGCAGAGAGCAGCTCCACTCCTAAATCCTGGAGTTCATTGTTGCTGAGGTCCAGCTCTTTCAGGGAGGAGTTTGCTGACTGTATAACTGATCCCAGATTCTCACAAGCTTTTTCACCAAGACCACAGATGTATAGTCTGCAGACAGGCATCACAATGTACTTAAAGAAGAATTTGTGAATAGACTAACAGAAAAGTTTAGCATGTTAGTTTAGTATCTTATTTAGATTACACACTACTAATTTGTTTATGTTACTGGTATGGTTAGAGTGCGTAAAACAATATAATTCTGAAATCACAGGAAATCCTAAATAAAATAAATAAATAAATAAATAAAATAAATAAAACAAATAAAATCATAGGAAACTCTAATAATTCTTTAAATTTATGCTCACAGTTTATTTTGCCTTATAATCTTAATTTATTTCAATTCCGGAATTAATTCTTAGGAAATTCACCTGAGTGCCTTCAGTTTACAGTGTGAGTTCTTCAGTCCAGCAGAGAGCAGCTCCACTCCTGAATCCTGCAGGTCATTGTTACCAAGGTCTAGCTCTTTCAGAGAAGAGTTTTCTGATTGTAGAATTGATGACAGATTTTCACAGGAGTTTTTGTTGAGACTACAGCTGGTTAGTCTGTAAAAGTCAGAGTAAATGACATACATGGTGTAATCAGGGGAACTGCAATAAAATTAATTTTCTCTCCATGTTCTCCTTTGTCTTTACATGCAGAAACAAGTACACTAGATGTTCATAGCCTCATAATTCATCCATGTGATTCTGTTTAAAACAGCAGACCATTGTCTTTTCTCTCTAAGTAGAAGCTTCCTGTTTAGTAGCATAGCATATTTATTAGAACTGACCACACACATTTACCAAAAGAAGCATTTCTGTATAAACTAAGAGAAAAACAATATCCTCTTGTTTTGACAGCACATTATACGTTGCAAGTTCACCTGAGTATCTCCAGTTTACAATGTAAACTCTTCAGTCCAGCAGAGAGCAGCTCGACTCCTGAATCTTGCAAATCATTGTTACTGAGGTCCAGCTCTTTTATAGGGGAGTTCACAGATTGTAGAGTTGCACAGAGAGTGTCACAGCAGTCCTTGGTGATATAGCAGCCATTTAGTCTGCAAAAAATGATAAACAGCCCAGCAGCAGAAAGAGATTGATCATGAATCAGAACATACTAGTTCAGGTCTGCAGCCCTGTCACTGGCTGCCATACCACCCCAAAGCATAGAAAGATCCACCCCATGCTAAAAAGTTTTTTTTTTATTGAAATTTTACTTCTTTACTACTAAAAACATACTTTTAGTGATTGTAGTGAGTTCAGTTTTTATCTCATCAGACCACAGTACTTGATTCCAAAATGCTTCTGTTTATGTAATGGTTGTATTGCAGTGAAAATTACAAACATGATTTACATATCTTTTTGGGCTTCTCTTGCTTTGTAAGCATCAGTTATCTTTAGCTTCAGATCCACTGTAATTTAAAGTTACAGAATTAATAATAATAATAATAATAATAATAATAATAATAATAATAATAATTTCTATAGGGTCTGTCTCATACCCAAGGCTACTTTACAATAGGAACTTCACATAATCACAGTAGGCAAAAAAGAAGAATGAAAATATTGAGAAAACAGGAAAGTTTTGAGGCAGACTTTGAAGGAGGACAGTGTGGAGCAGTTGAAGAGATATAGCTCCACAGAGTTCCACAGTTCAGGGGCCATAAACTAAAAGATCAGCCCTTAAAAGTGGAACATTTAAAGTCAGGAACCACCTAGAGGCCTCCATCAGAGGACCTCAGAGTATGAGCAGGAGTATAGAGTATAGCTGTAAGATAATTGAAGACATGTAACAGTTTGAAATATCTCACATTGGAAAATTTCAAAAAGGTTATAGGAACGATACAGTTGCAGCTGTGAGGTGAGAGGCTTCCACTTTTTCCAATATTTTAGTTACAAATGGGATAGGTCAGTAGTGGTCTAAAACAGTTGATTCAAGACCAGGTTTTTTTTAAGAACAAAATGTTGTTGCAAAATGAAATAGAAGACTTTGAGCAAGGCATAGGACTGATCAGAGACTTCAACTGCAGATCTAGTAACAGAGGTAAAGTGTAAGCAAAAGCATCAAAAGAACCAATAGTGCCACAAAGGGAAGTGCCAAACACCATCCTACATTTGCCAACCTGCTTAACTAGACACCAACAGAGTGAGCAGAGCAGTAGGGAAGCAATGCAAGATAGGAGACCAGTCATACCAACCAACAAATGGCAGCCAGAAACCTGATGAAAGAGTAACTCAACCAATATATTTACAGCCAAAAAGGGGTTGGAAATCTGAAAGAGAGCTTACAGCAGAAATGGTGTACTAGCCAAAAACAAATTGAATGTCCATAAACAAAAGAAAAAACAAAAATAGCAAAAAGTACAGTTCAGTGTTAAGTGGTAGCAGTGTCTTTGTGATATGATAGGGCCCTCATACAAGCACCTGTAGAGGGGTTGTGCTTTTTCCTAAGACCTTTCTCAGGGACAAATTTAAGAAAAAACTTGGGAAGCTATTGGTGAGTGAGACCCAAAGACTGTTCACACAAATTTATATATTTTGAATGATAGCTAATAAAAGCTTGCACATAGACTTCAAGGCTTTAAGTGACCGGTTTAAAGTTCAGGTTAGCTTAGACTTACAGTAAGGTTGTGGATAAGACTTCACAACCTTACTGTAAGTCTAAGCTTGCCCATAGACTTCAAGGCTTTAAGGGACCGGTTTAAAGTTCAGGTTAGCTTAGACTTACAGTAAGGTTGTAGATAAGACTTCACAACCTTACTGTAAGTCTAAGCTTGCCCATAGACTTCAAGGCTTTAAGTGACCGGTTTAAAGTTCAGGTTAGCTTAGACTTACAGTAAGGTTGTGAAGTCTTATCTACAAAGGGCCAGTGTAGCTGTAGGTTTTCAACCCAAGTAAGCAGCAGCACTCTTTAACTCAAGCCCAATGTCAGAACTGTCCAATAGGAACGTCCCTTATCTCTCCTTTGATTGGACAGTGGTTACTCTGAATTTAAGTTGGCTAGCTGAAAAATACTGCTTTGTGAAACACCACTTGATCAGATTTTTGAAGACTAAAACACATAGAACAAAGCAGAAGCAAGAAGTAAAATCAGTTGTGCACCTGCTTGGTGGAAATGAAAACCTGCAGCCACACAGTCCCTCAATGGATAAGAGTGGACACTAATGAGCATCAGAAATAGTAGTTTGCCCAACAGGATCATAGGTAGCAGGAGTAACACGGACTTGAATGTTTTTAGATTTTTACTAATATGCATATAAATTAATACCACATAATACATGTTTATAAATATGTAGTCTTTGCTGTACTTACTGTACCACTTTATCAATGAGCTACAAGGAACATAAGATCTAAAGGAGTAGTTGTGTACACTGGGCATATGGAGGCTAAAATAGCAATGCAGCATCAGTCAATCCTTTTTTTTTCACACTGATGCATGATGGTCTAGTGCTATCTGTCCATTTCTCTGTGGAAACTGTTGTACAGAATAAACCACTGCAGATTATGTTTGTAGTTCTGTCTTATTCAACACAGAGCAGAGTGGAACTGTGAGGGAGTCTGGGTTACACATATGCACCTGAGCAATGGATCAACTGGAGCACCTGCTCCCCCAGTTTTATTTCAGAAGGGGGAGTTACTGATGCGCACTGTCCACTTTGTTAGAAACACCTACTCCACAACTGATTCTACTTGTTGCTTCTGTTTCTGCTCAATGTCAAACATCTGATGAGGCAGTATTTCATAAAGCGGAATTTCTCAGTTAGCCAAACAACTTATATCCAAAATAAGCACTGTTAAAAGATGTTTGCATTATTATAGTTCATTTACTGTAATGGCTTGTAAGTCCGCCGTGAGTGGTTTGGGCCTGTGTATAATTGAGATTGTTAGTTTCCATTTAAGAATACTAATGTTTATGTGAAATAACCTATAGGTGACCTCAACTTCCTATTCGAAATTTCTCATTCCACCTTAAATTTTGCAGCAGTTATATGCTGGCAAACATGAATCTGAAGTCAGCTTCCTATACAAATAGGGCTGGAGGGGGGTCTGGCCTGCCACCCATGCTGAAAAAAATTCTGGAGGAAACACTGTGCAAGTACAGACAGTGTATTGTCAGGGTTGAGGTAGCTACTGAAAAATTATTAGTTAGCTACTTTGTAGCTACTTTCCCAAAATGCGTAGCTAGCTACAATTTCGCTACTTTTCCAGAAAAAAAGTAGTGGCTACTTTTGAAAAGTAGTGCACTACTTTTTAACTACTTTCAAAGCGCAATTGTCAGAATGTTTGGGAATCTCCACCTGACACACCAAACAAACCCAACTGATAGTGTGAACAAGACACTGCATTTAATCATCGCCAGAAAGAAACATACAATTGAAATGCTGCAAATATACAAAAAGATCACTGAAATGTAAGTTTAAATGTAACCGACAACCAAAGGCGTGAAATCCAACAAAAAATGAGACTAAGTAAAGGTAAAGTCAATCATTCCAGGTTTTTCCTAACAAAAATCAACAAAAATAACCGAATACAAACCAAACAATTTTGTGCAAGGCATTGTTAACTGTTGAAATAAAACTGCTTCAATTTAAACATTTCAGCAAGATATACAGACATTCAGAGTCCTTTAAACTTCAGCAACACTTTAGCCTCAAAATTCTCATCAGTGACCCTGGCTCTGCGCAGTACTGTTAGTAATATAGTTTATTATTATTAGTCTATTATGTTTTTTTCCGCTTTAGCTAAGCCAGGGGTCGGCAACACCTGGCTCAACAGCAGAACTAAGTTAGATTTTTATGTAAAATAAAACTCTACTGATCGTTCTAACATACAGCTCTAACACGGTTTTCACAATAAATGGTCTTAAATGCTGGAGTTAATGTATAACTGCTAATTCACCCTTTAACCCTGAAGATTGACGTGCAGACTGCTGGTCAAATGGCAATGCAGATAATAACAGTCTCGCCTAGCGAGTATAGCTAAAGAAACGGCAAAGAGAAACATTTAAGGTAAACATCAATAATTTGGACACAAACAAACTTATTTGCATTTATAAGAATTCAGCTGGTTTTTTGATTCATTTAATCTGCAATGAGAAACTGTCAAACACTAAAAAGTCAAAAAGCTGTCAGTTTCTCTTTTGCCAGCCTCTCTTTCGAATTTTCCTGTTCCACCTTAAATGGCACAGCAGTATATTCTGGCATCTCAGGCACCATTTAAGGTGGAACGGGAAGATTCAAATGAGAAGCTGGCGAATGAGAAGCGACTTCAGCCTCGTAAAAACTCCTGACTGAGGGGTGAGAAAAGTGGCTATAACTGACCTAAAGGTAAAAGCAGAGCAAAGTAAGTCTGCGTTTTTGTTTACATTATATTTTTAGCCTACACTAGTACATCAGCACGGAGACATATTTACAGCTAAGATGGTAAAACGGATATAACATGGTAGTTACTCCCAAGGTGGTTTCGTTTTTGTTGAAAGGACAAAATGGCTCTTCCTAACATTTCGGTTGGCGACCTCTGAGCTAAGCCTACTAGTAAGGGGTGATCAGCACGTGACCGTTTGCTCGAACTGTCCGCGGCTCAGTCAGGATTGCACAATTGCCACCAGCCCAGTTAATGACGCTTTCTGTGGCTCACATTTTGCACAGGTTGCCTGAAGCCTGTAGTGAAATTGTAGCGAAAATTATTGCTATAGCTACACAAAAATGTAGTTAGCTACAAAAAGTATTGCACTACTTAGCTACTCCCCCATCCCTGTGTATTGTTCAGTCCTAACTCCCAAATTAGGAGTTTCTAATAAAATGGCCAAACATTGTACCTGCAGCACTTCAAAATAACAAAAATTATAATAAAGAAAACTTATTTTTAATTCTCTAACCGAAGACCTGATGCGGTCTGCCCTAATCATCAGTAATCAAATATTAATCTGTTGTATTAATGTTATTACACTCACCGAGCTATTCTGCAGACAGTCAGAGCTGAGATCAGTCTCTTATAACCCTTCTTTGATGTGTTGTATTTTTTCAGGTCCAGCTCATCCAGAACCTCCTCTGAGTTCAGAATCATATATGTTAGTGCTGAACACTGTCCAGGAGAGAGTCTCACCTCTGAGTGTTTCTTTGATTTTAGATACTTCTGAATCTCTCTGTAGAGAGACTGGTCATTCATTTCAGACAGACAGAGGAACAGATTGATGGATCTCTCAGTGGAGATGTGATATTGTTTATATTCATCATCTTTGATTAAACTCTTGATGTGCTCTCTAGTTTTCTCTGAGCTGCACTGTGTGTGCGTCAGTAGACCCTGTAGTGTCTGATTGGACTTCACTGAGATGCCCAGCAGGAAACGGAGGAAAAGATCCAGGTGTCCATTCTGACTTTTAACAGCTGTATTTACTGCTCCATTCAGCACCTCATCTAGAGGAACATCCTCACACCACTCGCTGTTTAGTGGTTTAAATATCTGCAGTTCCTCCATGTTTCTGCTCTCATAGCAGTGAAACACAAAAACAGCAGCCAGGAACTCCTGAAAGCTCAGATGAACAAAGCAGTAGACCTTTCTCTGGTAAAGCACAAATTCCTCCCTAAAGATCTCAGTGAAAATCCCAGAAAACACTGAGGCCTCAGTGACATCAATGCTGCTCTCTCTCAGGTCCTCTTCATAGAACATCATATTGCCCTTCATCAGCTGTTTGAAAGCCAGTTCAGCCAATTTCAGAAGAATGGTTCTGCTGGATTCCAGCAGGTTCTTTGGGTCTCCCTCATCTTTCTCCTCATACTTCTCGTTCTTCATGTTGGTCTGAGTGATCAGGAAGTGTGAGTACATTCCAGTCAGAGTTGTAGGGATTTCTGTATTATGCTGTTTCATTATTTGCTGAAGAACAGTGGCTGAGATCCAGCAGAAAACTGGAATGTGGCACATGATGTGGAGGCTCCTCACTGTCTTAATGTGTGAGATGATTCTCTTGGCTTGGTCTTCATCACTGATCCTCTTCCTGAAGTACTCTTCCTTCTGTGGGTCACTGAATCCCTGAATTTCTGTGACACGGTTGATGTATTTAGGAGGGATCTGATTGGCTGCTGCTGGTCGGGAGGTTATCCAGATCAGAGCAGAGGGAAGCAGCTCTCCTTTGATGAGGTTTGTCATCAACACACCCACTGATGATGTCATGGTGATGTCAGATATTTTCTCACACTGCTCAAAGTTCAGTGGAATTCTGCTTTCATCCAGACCATCAAATATAAACACAGTTCTTAGCTGACCATAAATGTTTGGGTCCAGATCATTTAGCTCAGGATGAAAGTCACACAGAAGTCCATGAAGACTGTACTGATCATCTTTAATTAAGTTCAGCTCCCGTAATGGAAGCAAAAACATTAACTCTACATCCTGATTGGCTTTTCCTTCAGCCCAGTCCAGGATGAACTTCTGCACAGAGACAGTTTTTCCAATTCCAGCAATGCCTTTAGTCAGAACAGCTCTGAGCTCTGGCTCTTCTGGTCTGTTATCTTCTTTTCTTTCTTTGAGTCTGAGACTGTTAGCCATCACATCTCTAAAGTTCTCTTCTTGTGTTTCTCCTTCAGGACCTTGTAGAGGTTTAAATATATCTAAGCAGTTAATTGGAGAGTCTTGTAAGTGTCTCCTGGATGTTTTCTCTATCTGTAAAACCTCATGTTCTTCATTCACTCCTTCACTCTCTCCCTCTATGATGTAGAGCTCTGTGTAAATCCTGTTCAGGAGGGTTTCATTCTCCTCTGTTTTGATTCCCTCAAATAAGCTCTCATACTTGTTCTTCATGTTGGTTTTGTGTCTTTCTAAGACTCTGTGAAAGACACTATCCACCGGTTGGTAAATATCTGTCAAAATGTTAATCTTCAGTGCTGTCGGTGTGGTGTGCTGCCTAATCGGGGCAAAACACAGTAACACAAACATCATTAATACAAATACCCATAATAAACTTCTAACCATATATTTCATTAGATTTGAGCTATTGAGTTACAATAGATACCTCAGATATCCAAGACAACTTAACATTATGTGTTGTGCTTTTGATTTCTCCAAAACTAACAATTATAAATATTCGGGCAACAATGTAATAATATGATGTATGTAACAATGAGGTTGAACTTGGTTTTAAATATTATATAATTGGTTATTAGTGGTTAAAGGTTCACTAACACACATTGTGAGCAGAGCAGCAGTTAGTCAGAATCTGTACTGTGGCATGTGGCACTGTTTGGGTCTCTAGCCTGCTAGCTGAGCTGACATTAAGTTAGCTAATGAGACGTAGACATCGTATTGACATAGGTCTCAGCATGCTATGAAAATAACTGACCTGTTTATAGAAGCTTCTTAGCAAAATGTTTGTGAGCACATTGAAAGTGATAGTCTTAATTATTATTATTATTATTAATAGTAGTAGTAGTAATAGTAGTATTTATTTTTAACAATACAATCAAAACAAAGCATAAATCTACTTAAGGTCATGCATTAATGAATAATTCAATTTATAAAAATTAAAAATATATAAAAGTATGTAAATACAAAGTTTATAAATGTCTTTCATCACTTGAAATTATGTACTGTGATTTCCTGTCTCTACTGGTGAACTGTTTTTGTTGCAATAAACAAATAAAAAAAAAATTGATTAACATTGTGATGAATTATTGGTTAACATATGTTCACCATAGTCACAGAAATTAATAGAAGTGAATGAGGAGCTTCTCTGAAATGGTCTCAGTTTCAGTTTCTACAAGGACAGCTGCTTTTCAATTACAGCATGGGTGAAATACAGCAATTATAAAGCATGGTTTTCAGCTGAACTCAGACAGCTTCGGAGAGAAAAAGAGGCAGCATTCAGGAGTGGGGACAGAATTCTTTATAAAGATGCCAAATACAGGCTGGAGAAAGAGATTAAAGCAGTAAAAAAGAAAAGCTACATTGCTGCTAATGACCCAAGGGCTGTTTGAGGAAGTTCCTGTATAATTGTGTGGCCAGCTAATGAAATAAACTGAAATTAAGTGAAGTGTAAATCTCACCGGATGTGCCCCTGAGGGTAAGAGTACCCCTCTGTAGAAACAAGAGCCCTACACCTTTCTGACTTAACACTGTCTCTTTACCTCTGCTCTGTAGAACTTTCCTTCTCTCTGAAGTTAAATGGATGGTCCATTGACCAGTTGCTCTTCATGGACACACAGGTGGGTGGAGGTGAATCTGATCTCTTTCTCTTTCTCATTCTAAAACACACCAATCAAGGGAAAATCATGTTACAATCATACACGTAGAAAACAGAGCGTGGAATATTAAAATTAGACTCTTTAGTAGGTAAACGTTAATAAAAATTCTCCATTATGTAACCCCTCAGAAGTTAAACCTCCTGCTGCGTACCCCCTTTCGCTCCTTCTGAAATTGAAATTCTGACATAATACAAAGAGCAGCTGATTATTTTAAATTATGTCAACCAAACAAGACAAAAATGGGGAAATGAGGTTTTGTCCCAACAGCAGTGATATACTGAGACTGAATGAAGTTTTAGGCCTGTATTACATGCGCAGTTCACTCTAGAGATTCTTTAGTATGTATACGGTAATAAAAATCCTCCTTTAATTATTTTTACTTATAAAGTTTAGTCTACTACAGTGGATCCCAAAACTTCAACAGTCCTGTATCCCCTCAAACATTAAACCTTCTGCTGTGAACCCCCCTCACTCCTTACACATACACGAATGTACAGCCCCATTTCCAAAAAAGTTGGGACACTGTGCAAAACGTAAATGAAAACAAAATGTATTTATGCGCAAATCATTTAAACCCTATATTTCATTGAAAATAGTTCAAAGATGACTTATCAAATATAAAATATATTATAGAAAAATAATATATAAAAACATTGCAAAAAAGAACAGTATTGATTAAAATAAAATCACATATAATATAACCAAATTGTTTCAGCTCCTCTGCCACAATGCATATAATGTAAAATCAATCCCTCATAATATTGTAACATAAAACAATGGAGTTGTTAGTCCATAGTGGTGGGTTCCATAGGAGAGAGTTTTACTCTGTAATCGTTTTCCACTCACTGTCCGTGCCTGTATGTAGTGTTCGCTCTAATGAGTGATGAGAACTCACTCTTCATACTCTGCACACATCACTACCCATAAATCTGGCAATGCATTTTTATTAAAGTCTTGAAAGACCCACTCAGAGAACCTGCAGTGAGGCTCTCCTGCTCAGCAGTTGGTGATCAGAGTGCAGGGCTGTTTGAGGAAGTTCCTGTATAATTGTGTGGCCAGCTAATGAAATAAACTGAAATTAAGTGAAGTGTAAATCTCACTGGACGTGCCCCTGAGGGTAAGAGTACCCCTCTGTAGAAACAAGAGCCCTACACTATTCTGACTTAACACTGTCTCTTTACCTCTGCTCAGTAGAACTTTCCTTCTCTCTGAAGTTAAATGGATGGTCCATTGACCAGTTGCTCTTCATGGACACACAGGTGGGTGGAGGTGAATCTGATCTCTTTCTCTTTCTCATTCTAAAACACACCAATCAAGGGAAAATCATGTTACAGTCATACACGTAGAAAACAGAGTGTGGAATATTAAAATTAGACTCTTTAGTAGGTAAACGTTAATAAAAATTCTCCATTATGTAACCCCTCAGAAGTTAAACCTTCTGCTGCGTACCCCCTTTCGCTCCTTCTGAAATTGAAATTCTGACATAATAGAAAGAGCAGCTGATTATTTTAAATTATGCCAAAAATGCTGTGATGCTGTGCAAATGTAAACAAAACCAAAATGCAAAGATGTGCAAACCGTTTAAGCCCTATACTTCATTGAAAATAGTACAAAGACAACAAATCAAATATAAAATATATTATATAAATATAATATATAAAAACATTGCAAAAAAGAACAGTATTGGTTAAAATAAAATCATATATATATATATATATATATATATATACATACATGTGTATATATATATATATATATACACATGTATGTATATATAAATATATATATATGTGTGTGTGTGTATGTATATGTATATATATAGATAGATAGATAGATACATATACACACACATATATATATATATATACACATATATATCACATATATATTCATATACATATACATATACACACACACACACAGACATACACACATACATAATCCCTTTAACCACTCACACAGAAATAACGTTATGCTCTCACTTTCTCCAGTTCTCATTTTTGTCTCATGTTGCATCCAATTACAGGCACCTTGGAGTAATGTAGTAATCTGCCACAGTCCCCTACAGACATATATGACTAGCTTGGCTAGATAACATCATGTTTGATTTTTTTTTGGTATAGAGTTAGGAATATCCGCTTCCAAAACAACACTTCGATGTCATAATAAATTAAAAGAAGCTTGTAGCTGATCCGTTTCCATTTTGCCACCATATAAGCGCAGCAAAATACATTAGAGCACAGTGAAGTTAAACTCTATCATGAGAACGTGAACCGTTCAACTGATACTAAACCTCTCTTTTAAACAGTCATCAAGTGAAAAATACAATCTACTACAGAATAATCTTGAAGGACTGAAATGTAGGAAGTGCTAGAACACACAATGTCATGAATATGGAATGCCAGGGGTTCTGTTCATTCTCAGTAATGCTATAAAATAAATAAAAATAAAAATAAACAAATTAAGTGAAGTGTAAATCTCACCAGATGTGTCCCTGAGGGTAAGAGTACCCCTCTGTAGAAACAAGAGCCCTACACCTTTCTGACTTAACACTGTCTCTTTACCTCTGCTCAGTAGAACTTTCCTTCTCTCTGAAGTTTAATGGATGGTCCACTGACGAATTGCTTTTCATTTTGAATTTGATGCAAACCACATGTTCCAAAAAAGTTAGAGCTAAAAAAAACACTGGTGGTTGATTGGCAACAGGTCAGTAACATGATTGGGTATAAAAAGAGCATCTCAGACAGGCTGGGTCTCTCAGAGGTAAAGGTCGGGAAGGGTTCACTACTCTCTGAAAGACTGCATGGCTAAACAGTGCAACAGTTCAAGAATAACGTTTCTCAACATAAAACAGCAAAGAACTTTTGCTTTTCGTCATCTATAGTACATAATATCATTAAAAGATTCAGAGAATCTGGAGAATTCTGTATGCAAGAGACAAGGCCAGAAACCAGTATGATCTTCAGGCCCTCGGGCAACACTGATTTAAAAACAGACATGATTCTCTAGTGAAAATCACTGCATGGGCTCAGAAACACTTATGAAAACTGCAAATTAGCACGCTAAAACACAAAGAAGAAACCATATATAAACAGGATCCAGAAATGCTGCCACCTTCTCTGGGCCCGACATAATTTAAAATGGACAGAGGAGAAGTAGAAAAGTGTCCTGTGGTCTGACAAATTAACATTTGAAATTCTTTTAGGAAATCATGGACACTGCGTCCTCTGGTCCGAGTCCACTGATCTGTTATCAGTGCACAGTTCAAAAGCCAGTGTTCATGCGGGTATAGGGGTGCATTATTGCACATGGCATGGGTGACTTGCACATCTGTGAAGGCACCATTAATGCTGAATGAAATATACGTGTTATGGCAATATATGCTGCCATCCAGACAACGTCTTTTTCAGGGAAGGCATTGCTTATTTCAGCAAGACAATGTCAAACCACATTCTGCATGAATTACAGCAGCATTGATCTGTATTAAAAGAGTCCGAGTGCTAAACAGTCTAGACCTGTCAACCACTGAAAACATTTGGCGCATTATTAAATAAAAAAAATACAACAAATGATCCCCTGAACTGCTGAGCAGCTGAAATCCTTCAGCGTACTGAAACTGAGTAAATAACATTAGGCCTGTGTTACAGACGTGGTTCGCTCTGGAGAGGACAGATGAGGAAAAGGAGTACAATTTCTTCATCTGTAATTTGTGAGTTCAGACCATGCCTTCAACATGTAGTGGTAGTGTAAGGGAAGATTGATTGAGGGAGAGGGAGAACTCTGAGAACTGAGAGTTCTGGGCAGCTTCTGCCTGTAGCTAGAAGACCAGACCCCCTCATAGCTGTAGCAGGACTGATGTAGGACTGAGGAACAGGAAGGAGATGGGGATGGTGGTGGGAATTGTGAACACTTCATCACGGGAATGGAAAGTGAGGATGTGAATTTATAGGGTGTTAGATTAGAAGAAGGAGGGGTTTCTGCCATGCTCCTCCCCATGAACTTCAGTTAATCTCCTCCCCACAAAAGAATGGCGATGGCGAAAGGACCTGGCTCCTGGGACAGAGCTGAATGGGATAAGAGAGTGAAGGCAAGAGCACAAGGAAAGTCAAATCAGTGGTGGCCGAAGAACGACCAAAGTGAATAGGAGAGCAGCAGGTTACCAGCAGCATTTTCACAAATAAACCAATAGCAGTCCAGCCAGAGGGAAAAATGAAGAAATGAAACTGAGTCGAGACAAAGCTCATCCAAGGTGGAGCTGGTCTGAGTTAAGAGAGCGATGAGTTGCGGTGCTGACTGTGTTGCATCCGAACCAAGATGGAGCATATCCAAAATGGAACTGATCTGATGTGAAGCCAAGCTGAATTAAAAAGGATTTGCAGAACTGATAGGAACTGGTCTGAGATAAAGCAGGAAAGCAGGAAAAACTGACATACAAACAGCGAAAAAGGTAAGGCATTGCATTCAGCTGAGTAGATGCAAGACATTGTAGGTAAGGGACAGGAAGTTTGGCCCCATGGTAGAGAGAAAAATGGGGGAATACAAGGGAGGTGAAAAGAGACAAGGGCAAGAGACAGGAGAAATGGTGGCTTGTGGATCAGGTTGGAATGGCGTGAAGGGGTGACAACGTCATGGAGAATATGGGTCGGCATCATGATGACATCGCATAGGGCGAGTGTGGCAATGTCGTTTGCTTAGCCATATGAGCTGAGGGTCAAACGATGGCGGCATAGAGTAGGTTTGTTTACTTCCGCCCGGAGCTCAGACAAGAGTGGAATACGTCAGCATGGGAGACGTGATTTGTCCATTAGGGCACACTGGTGAATAGTCGCGGTCCAGACAAGGATGCAGTTTGGACAAAGCTTACAGAGGGCGAGGGCCGGAGCAGAGGAATGCGAGCCGTCAAGGCTTCAAGTGCTGGAACTGGGCAGGGAGACTGCACGTGGCTGGAGAAATCAAGATCCTAGATCCTATTAAGGATTTTTGCTAGCCAGAACAGCAGAAGCAATGAAAACGGATTTCACAGGGATGTGGACTGGACTATATCTGCAGAAAGAGTAGGCAGATGGCCTAGAAGGAATTCAGTAGAGAGAACCGAGGTCTGTAGCAGAGTGGCTCGTAGCTGCACTAGCATCACACAACTTCATCACGGAAACGGAAAATGGGGATGTGAATTAATAGGGTGTTAAATTGGAAGAAGAAGGGGTTTCAGCCATGCTCCTCCCCCAGTTATAACATAACTACATTATAAAAATATCTGCACAAGCAGTGGTCAAAATGAGGACACACCCACATGTGAAAGTCGTCAACTGAAAAATGAAACAGTGAATAACATGTTTATAAACACACAGCCACAGTTCACTCACAGCACTGTAACATCATCTTTTTAGTTTTGAAAAAGCTACAACACAAAGCAGAGCTACGAATATATAATCAAAATGCTAACAGCTAAGTGCTTTGGCTTTAGATTAAACTTAGATTGGCTGGTATTAGTCTCAGTGAGGATCTCTTGATCAGGAATTGGTGAGTGTAAATGTCAAACATAAGGATTGTACCATAGTTTGGGAACCACTGATATAATATATTCATACTCTTATTCTACATGCAGAGTTAAATTACACAGAAAGCAGAACTGCATGCAGTAAAACAGTCTTCTGTGCTTTCCTTGTTTATTCTGTCATCTCTCAGAAACTTCAAGCTCCATGATATGTTTACTCTTCAAGAACACTGGAGTTCTGGGAAAAAACATCTCACTCTTCAGTGTCACATCATCGTTACCTGAGCTCAGCAGCACTGCTATCCTCTCTGAAGTGTATTACTCTGTCCGTTGAGTGGTCATTCTTCATTAACACACAGCTGTGTTTAGGTGAGTCAGAGCTCTGACCCTGAACCAATCTGACTTTAGACCAAATCACACGATTCTCCCATCTCCTAGTTTTCTGGGAGTATTGTTCCTCAGAGCAACTCATTGTGGAGGTCATGGTTCCTTCTTCAGATTATACCTTATCTGGTAACACAGACGTAGAATTAGTGAAGTCAACATGTTAACTTCATCTAAAAGCTGAAATATAAAGCATATGAAATATACTACAGTCTGAAAGTAAAATATGTATGATAATCTTCAGTAATTACCTTTTTTCACTTTCTCTCCAAATGCTGTTTATGATGTTCTCTTCACAGAACAGATGCTGCTGAAGATCTTCCTACCACTCTGTTCCATTTGGACTGGCTTAGTTCCCCACCACAGCAGGAAATGCTGGAAGTTAAAGGGAATTTACAGGGTGGGACTGTCTTCCTGTATCAAAGTCCAGCAGTCTGTTCTCAGTGAAAACAGGAAACACAGTTTATGTAAGTGGGAGATTTTGTCCCCAAAAATAAGAGCCTTCGGTTTTATCCACTGTTTCCACATTGAACATGTTTCCACTCCACACTATCTCAGAATGAACTGTATCAGAGTTCATGATGACTCAGTTAAAACACTGTACAGTATATTTGTTACATTCACAGATTATCCTGCCGTTTGTTGTCTTGCAGCACTGTGTGCATGAAGTGTGATATAAATCTGGAGTCAGTGTATGTTAGGAGAGCAGGAGAGAAGACGGACACACTGGTCCACTGTTCTAGATCTTTATGGTACCTATGGGATTCCTCCAACTAGAACACTACTGCTGGAGCATGCTGGGTTCTAGACTCCTGAATTCAAGGAAGCAGATCTTTTCGCAGGGCTAATTGTAAAGTACTGCACATATTATTCATATTATGATAGGCTACTCATGAGTAACATAAGTTATGAGAACCTTAATAATTACTACAATAACAGTGAACATTAATTTTCAGACTATATATGAATATTATAGACTTACTTAGAGTCTAAATTTACTGTTACTCTAATATGTCTAAGTTAAAGTTACACTACAGATTTATTATTCACACTACAAATACATAAACGCAACCATAACAAGTTTTAGTAAAATTTAAAACGAGCACAAATTACACTAAATGACTGGGAAACTATTTCTGACTATGGAAATATAAGCTAAAAATTATGTTACAAAAACATATTGTCACGCTTTTGGGTCCTCCTCCCTTGCCTAACACGCTCCAGGACTCCATTTCCCAGAATCCCAATCCTCATGACGTCATTCCTTCCACCAATCACAGACCTCTGCCTCGTTCTCAGTCACCTGAATAGTCAAGTCAAGTCAAATTTATTTATATAGCGCCTTTTACAACAGATGTTGTTACAAAGCAGCTTTACAGAGAATCCGGGTCCACGCCCCCAGTGAGCAAGCCTTGGCGACAGTGGCAAGGAAAAACTCCCTCAACAGGAGGAAGAAACCTTGAGAGGAACCAGACTCAAATAGGGGAACCCATCCTCCTCTGGTCGACACCGGATAACAGCACAGACACAAAACAGTATAAGTGGATACAGTTTAACACCACTGTGCAGTGCGCCGGCCGCATCAGTCACGTCAGACCCTCTTAGGACAGGCAGCCGCTCAGCTCAGGGAAAGAGAGGGGGGAGGGGGAAGAGAGGGGGAGGGGGGATAAGAGGGACATAGTTAGAATACTAATTCAACATACCTGTACCCGTTTGCCTTAGACTTTAAAAGGTTCCTGGTTTGTTCTCCTCTTTGTGAGGTGTTGCCACACTACTGGTTGCTGAGCATTTATCTTCTATTTTCATGACCTGTGTACTGAACCCATTGCCTGTTTTTCGATTGTTTCTCTTTTGGATTTGCCCTTTTTGCTCTGGTTGCCTGTGTTTTTGTATTTTCTGTTTTTTGACTTTTGCCTGTTTTTTGGAAACTGTTTTTGGATTCGCCCTGACTCGGTTCTCTCATTAAACCAACTTTTGTTTTTAAGATCCGCATGCGCCTTTCTGTGCTTGTTCAGCGTAACACATATTTAGAAATAAGAACAATATTAATCCATAAAGTGGTTAATAAATGAAGTTAAAATATATTGTGATACTATTGTGTAGTTTATATATTTACAAATAATGATGGATGATAAAAGATAGATCTGCTCCTCACCAGACCATTAATAAACTGAGGAGAATGTCTGTTTGAACGTTTGAAATTAAATGATAGTCACATGTCCAGATTTCCAGTAAGCAGGTCAGCAGCTCAGTGGAGTCTCTAAGCCCTGGCTGCATTTGGAACTGCATAACATGATTTTTGGAGTAAAAAGAAAGGGACATATTCACATTGAGATTTACATAGAAACTGAGTAAATATACACAGAGAATGAAAGAATGAATTTAATTAATTATGAAATGAATGAGGGCGGCACGGTGGCGCAGTGGGTAGCGCTGTCGCCTCACAGCAAGAATGGCCTGGGTTCGATTCCCGGCTGGGTGACCAGGGTCATTTCTGTGTGGAGTTTGCATGTTCTCCCCGTGTCTGTGTGGGTTTCCTCCGGGTACTCCGGTTTCCTCCCACAGTCCAAAAACATGCAGTCAGGCTGATTGGACATGCTAAATTGCCCCTAGGTGTGAATGTGTATGTCTGTCTGTCTGCCCTGCGATGGACTGGCGACCTGTCCAGGGTGTATCCTGCCTTCCGCCCAATGACAGCTGGGATAGGCTCCAGCAACCCACCGCGACCCAGAAGGATAAGCGGTTTAGATGATGGATGGATGAAATGAATGAAAAAATGAACAAATACATAAACATCTGTACTTATGTTTTCTTTATTTCATAGAATCAGAATCTCAAATCATCATATAGTGATATGGTGCTAAGTAGCTCACACCCCGCAAAACCAGCAGAGATCCACCTCTATGCCTCATTTTAGGGATTTTGTGTTTCTCTTGACCATTTCTTCCTGGTAGAAGTCTCAGAAATCTTTCTTGGTCTACTTGATCTTGGCTTGGTATCCACAGAAGTGTTAGTTTTCCACTTGTTGATCAGACTTTGAATAGAGCATTTTCTTTTCTATAACCTTTTCCTTAATTATGGTGTTGAGATACTTTTTTTCAAAGACCCTTTGACAGTTCTTTTGTTTTCCCTATATTTTAGTATGCTGCAAGTTTACTGCACACAGACACCAAATGTTTCACTATTAAAGACACACTGACGATTTATATATGCAGTGCTGGCACAATCTAATAAGCGGCATAAGCAGCTGCCTAGGGCTCCACCGCCACTAACAACTTCTGGATAATTACTGTATTATTATGCTGTCTTGTGGGATTTTAGCACTTGCCCCTCTGCCTCTTGCTGGCTAATAATTTAACCCTCTATTGCATGATGTTGCCTCAGAACAAACTCATTTTCCTCACTTTACAATGACATGACACATATTTACTGATCATGAAAGGGTTAATACTTAAGAGAGGAGTTTGAACAACCCAATAAAAAGTCAGTAATTGGTCACATTAGAATCTTTTGGACATTTTGAGATGTTTGCAGCTTTACTTATTTTTTTGACATGTTGCAGCTTTTGGACAACACACGTTACTGCACCAGACAATTTGCCTTGAAGAAAAAGAATTTTTCATCAGTTCATAAATACAGTTCACATCTATATTATATTAGAATGTAAAATTAATTTACCTTACATTCACTACCATATAAACAATTAGTAGAAAATGTTGAAATATGTTTGTTGCCTAAAGGCAACATTGTGGAGTGGAATTAGCTAGTCAGTGCAGTCATTATATATATTTTTTCCATTTAGAATTATGTTTTATGTAGAATAATTTGGGAGGTTTTTATTTATTTAGGAAACTGAAAAGAAATTTTTATCATTTTTCGTATTTAAAGAAGTATAGATTTTCATTTACATTCTAAATATTTAGGCAAATAAAATCATATTTCTTGATGCTCTGTATCATTTTTTTCCATTGTCACATAAATGTTGCTTCATGGCAACATAACCCAAAAGATCCACTGACACATTATTTTGTTTGTTTTTTTATTTTAATAATCAGGTCAATTTTATGCAAAAAAGTGAAAGAAACATTTTTTAAACATTGCTCTCATAATGCACGCAACAGAGGGTTAATACATGAACAGCGGTAAAATTATACATTATCATTAATGATTCCTACAAGTTTAATCACCCATATCTTTGGCAGACCACTCTCAAGCCACGCCTCATTTTCTTGCCCCCTCCCCCCATTGCTGCTTAGCAACTGGTTTTATCCTCCATTTGCTCAGTCAAGTCTTCAAGTCAGCTGGCATGCCATATTTTGAATGTTGAACTCCAGATACTGAGATAAGATGTGCTATAATTTTACCAGATAGCCTGACAGACTGAAGCATGTTCTGAAGGATGCTCTACCCCCTTCCAAAGACAAAACAGAACTAAAAAATCTAAAAAAAATCTTTATTTGGATTAATCTTTGTGGTTAACACCACCATCTGCTGTACATGCATTAATAGTGACAGTGTCTGCTCAAACGAGAGTCGGCATGAGCTAGTTTGACTATAAAAATGTCTGTCGCAGATTTAGAACCCTGGTGTAATTTTAGCTGGTATGCTGAAAAAGTTTACCCTGTACCATTCAAATTATTGTTCGCTTGAAATGGTTAATAATGTAATGTTTTAATGGCTTTTTTAATGCTGGCTGTGCAGTTAGTGCCTTATGTACATGACGTACACTGGATGATCAAGTTCAAGCCAGCAGGGAGAGCTGATGGCCTTTTAGTTTCTAACTTTGTTTTATGTGATTTTCACACACAACATGCACATACACACACACACAATATAGCACAACATTTAAATTATACACACACACATATACATCATACATACATACAGTACACACACTGGATGCTGTTACTGGGAGGTTCAGTGGATCAGACAAGCTGTTATATCAGTATCATACAGAGGAATCAGGAGGAAAGTACGCAGTACTGACTGTGTGTTTGGATACAATAATCAGTCCTAGAGTCTTGAGTGCTCTAATAACAGATACTCTGTCTGGCACAACAAATCCCCCCTCCCTCTCTAACAGATTAGGAGTGTATCTGGACTAGGGATTTGGCATTCACCACCACATTCACTGAGCCGCTCTACGCTGGATTCTATATTTATTCTGACCCTTCAGTGAGTCTCTGTGAGATAGAATAACATCTACAGAGAGAGAGAGAGAGAGAGACACACAGCACACAGTAAGAGCAGATTAACCAGGCCTATGCATATAACATATGAATTGTAACATCTGTTTAAGGGGAATGTCAAATGTAGTTGACTTGTGAATTGTGCAGCACTGATGCAGTTTAGTGAAAGCTAGAAGAAGTGTTCCTCCTTTACTGTTTACATGAGCAAAACTACTGGAGCCGTGGTTTAAATACACACCCAATGGG